TGGCAGATAAAAATCCCTGGATTTTAAATTATTTCGTGAAAGCATTAAAGAAATAAGTTAAATATAACATATATTGTTGTTCAAAACATCGTTTATAGTCTTTAACCTTATTTGCTGGTTCATTATGCAAATTTTAGCACCTATTCCTCTCATTATAAATTTGTTATTCTCATTAAGTTTCAGTTCGGAAAAAAGACAGGAATGAGTATTGTTAAAGAAGTTTGTTGAGAAAGTTGCGTGTTCCTGCATCTTCTTTTGAAATTTAGAGTAATTCTTAAATAACATTTCCAACAGCCATATGAGATTAATATCTTTTAATAAAACCTAATTTTATATAATTTCAGTTATGAAACTTTATGAGCTAATGAGTGAAATAGTCAACTGGAATTGCTTTTTTATTAACATTTCAGACAAAACCTTTAAAAAAAAAAGTGAAAAAGAAAAATAAACATTAAAATTTTTTGAATAATAAATGTGTAATGAGTTTTTTTTTAAGAAATATTATAAAATTATTGATTATTTTAAGAAATATGTTAAAACTTAATTGTTATAAATTTCATCTCAAAAATTACGCCTAAATTATGCTTCTGAACACTTCAAGAAAATTTTCAGGATGAAATTAAATTAACTTAAAGAGACACATATGTATTAGAGTCCTATGATTTACTCTTTTTCAGGTCATTAAGGCCAGTAGGTGTAATAGTGGCAACGTCAGTGCTAATATCATTTCATCCTCATTACGTTACCGCCGGTGATCGAATCTATCTTTTGCGATGCTTGCATACTCGATCGTCAGATAAATCATTATTTCCAGGATCAGTTGCACCTCTTACCACTTCCACTGGTAAAATTTCTTTTATTTTCACATATCTGATGAATTGAAATCAGTTGAAGACCCAATGAATTAGAAATAATTGTAAATCATGCATCTCCAGAATCTGCAATTATCGCAATATCTATAGTAGATCTGTTATGCGATAGTACTTCAGCTTAATTTTTTCCTCTTCCAGATGTTTTTCAAGGGTCGACGTCAATACCACAATGTGAATATCAGATACGAAATTTGAAAAACAATGAGATTGTGAATGAAGCGATTATCGGTGAAATGGTCCGTCACCGTTGGTCCTGTAGCGTTCGTTCTGATCAAGATTTATGTCTTGTTATCACTAACTGTTTCTTGATAGCGAGTGATTCAAAGCATCAGCTTATCGATAATAAAGGATGTTCCACAGATCGTACTGTACTTCCAGATCTGATCTACATTGACAATGTATACATTCTTTTAAGATTTTTTTTCATAAAGAATTATTGAGGGAATGAATTCCACTTGAATAAGATTCTGCAGTTTTTAGGAGAATGACATTTATATAAATTCGAACTTATGATTTTGAAAGAAGAAATGTTCCACTCTTTCATTTCAATTAAATTGAAGCTTTTCTTTTACAGCTGAATGTTGAACAAAACGTATCTGTTTTTGGCGTCGCTGATAAACCTTACGTATATTTTCAATGTCAAGTAAGCTTATTGCCATCAAAAGCTCATCAATGTCCTAAACCAAATTGTCCTAGCAATCATAGAAATCAGTATGTTGTTTTATTTTATTTAAGAAGCAATTGATAATCATCGAAACAATAATTTAGTACAATTCTCTTCCAAGAGAAAAGCAGGAGTAGTGGTGAGAATAAAGATTACAAACTTAGTCTAGGTTAATGGATGAAAATGACAAGACTTAATTTATTTTTCTTCTATAAAGTATGCGAAGTATGACGGCTTACAGATATAGTAGTTATTATTTAGAATGTAAATCATTTTATGAAAAGAATGGGTATTTATGTTCTATAGGAAATTTGCAGGAGAGATTTACTTTATATGATAGGAAACGATGAAGCACTAATATTAGACATCGTTTCGCAACAGTTCGAGATTCGGGACTTCGATAGTCAATTTCGAAAGTAAGTTCTTAATTCCATCTGCAATTTCTTTAGTTCTAGCCAAAAGCAGATCTTAGGAGAAATAATGCATGAAACTCTGAGGCACATATATATCTAAGCGCATCGCTTTGTAAAAGTTGTTAATTGATCACGTAATTTGTTGTTAGTTAAGTTGATGTTCAAATATGTGGATAGTTTGTTGTATTATATTTTGATAGTGATAATTTAGGAGAGGATGTCATAGATTATCGGAAGAGATTGTTAATGAAATGAATCATGATAACATTGTTTGTATAACATGGAATTTTTTTGTTCTTATCGCTCTCTTCACTATTTTGGTAAATTTTTTCTTATTTTGATAAATTTTAATAACTATCTTAATCTTTCAGAATTACTCGTCATGAAATGTTGAATATTAGAAATTTTCTCCTATCTTATTAAGCATAGCCAGTGAATTATTCATACAAAGAATGAAATTTTTTAATAAATGCGAGAGTAAATCATTAAATTTAAAAAAAAACAAACCCAATGGAATAATTTTCCTATTTTTCCTACAGAAAAATTTAGAATTTTGTACTAACTTAGCTTAGTTTACAGAAAAAGTTAGATTTCACTGAAAAACTTATAAATATCCATTTTGGAGCATATTGAAAATACTAGCATAAACAGAAAAAAACAGACTGAAAATGTAATCAATAATCAATTCCGATAAATTGGCTTCTACTTAGCTTTTTAAATATTTGAATTAAATTTAAGAGAATCAATTTTACAGATAGCACTCTGCACTGTCTTAGCAGTGACAGTTATGGTCTTTCGAAATGTACGTTGCAGTGAAAAGATATGAATGTCGATCAAGTGATTAGAGTAAATTGGACTATTTCGTCACTATATTTAAACGAGATCAACAAAAGACGATGTCATCAATGTTTGACACTTTTGTTTTCTTCTCAAGTCAAATTTCGTTTAAAATGCGAATGAGATTTTTCATGATTAATCAACCCTTTTGATCTTACGAGCAAAAGTTTGTGTCTGTTTGGGAGATCTCACCCTGCTTAAAAACTTTGAATGACTCGATTTTTCTTTTTGAAGTCCATTATGACACTACTGTTGCAAATAAAATCATCCCCAATCCTGCCATATATTTCCACCATCAAGTTATTTAATAAGAATCATAATTTTTATATCAGTTCGATTCCTTGAGTAGTAGTAATACCTTCTAAAGTTATTATGCGATCCAAGGAATTCTAAATGTTAAATCAGAACTGAATCCTCCTCCTTTTCCACTGATTTACAAATTACATTGTAAATGCTTCATTAATTAATACTTTGCAACTGCTTATTTATTTATTTCCATACTTTACTTAATACCCTCAATAAGTGATTAACGATTTATCAATGAAACACTTCAAAGAAAAATCGTAAAAAGTGTTCATGCTATTCAAAAATGACAAATGAAATAAAAGTACAGGATAAAATGCTTGTTTAGTCTTTCTGTAATTTAAATGGAAACTGATTCACTAAATTTATAAGTGAACTTCGTTCATCCAAAAAAAGACAAAAAAAAAAAGTGATTTTAATTGTTGAAAGAATTCCACAAAAGCTCAATGTATTTATTGCTGTTTGGAGGTTGTATAAGTTGTTTCAAGGAAATGATTACTATTCGAAGTGTACTGTGTAAACTGCTGATTTATGAGTCTTGATGACGCGATATGGCGATATGATAAAGCATATCGAAATAGAATAAATAAAATAGAACTAATTTACGTCATAAAGGAAGAAAAAGATTTATATTCACGTCGCAAATGTATATCAACATATCGCCATCTATAACAAGGACGTCGTACTGCCCTGGAAGGAAGACTGGATCTCATATATTTTTGTTCGGAAAGACATAAATCTTAATATTCAGGGAATGTTTTACTTTTCATTTGTACATGAAAGAAAGTTGCATACATAAAACTGTCAATACTATTATCTACTTGTATTTCATTACATATTATTGCTACCTCATGACGCAATACATGTGCTGTGTACTACATTCATCCGTCTGACAGACCAGTATCAAGTAGTTTTATTTTTGAAGTGGAATTATGTTATGATTATATCAAAATTGTGCTAAACTCCCACGAAATTTTATTTTTTGCAGAAGAACGTAGTTAGAAAAAGGAAGAAATAAGTTATATTCCCTCTCACGTCCTAAACCTGATTAATTCACTTATCCTTGCCGTCTTAAATTACAAACACAAAAATAACTATGTAATGAAGTTTAATTTACGGATAATCCTGAGAAAGATCGAATCGATTTAGACTGTGTCCAGTATACGCTAATATAACATCAATAATTTTAATTAATTAAACCGATGATTTATCTAAAAGATGTAATTGAGGAGAATTATCGAGTACTCTATGTTAATAGAGTAAAACATACATCAAGTAATAATGTTCCACAATAACATCTGATCCTAAGTAAATCAGTTTAAAACCTGCCAATTAAATCATAACCCACTCCATCCTCCTCCAAGAACCCATTTCATGATTTGTAGCATGCAGCGGTAGTGAAATATTTCACATCAGAATTGGTAGGGAGTGTTTATGATCAAAGTCGTTCTCAGAAAGCTAGCTTAAGTAATTTAATCTTAACCAAAGAACCTGTGATAGAGTGAGTTGCTAGGGAATATTTTGTGACTAATATCTGAGGATTTCAGATATTAGTAATTGATTTGGTTTAGAATGAATGAATAATTTACAGTGCCGTCGCTTTTTTCTTTCACGAGAGATTTGTTGTCTCCTTCATCTTTCTTTTTCTCCCATTACTCTCGCGGGAGAAAATTAGTCGAGTAGCTTCCAACTTACTTGTTTGTTTTGAACTATTTGGTAACTCTCCATGAATGATGTAACCCATACCTCGCGGATTACTTTGTTGTTGCTTGATAGCGTTTGTTTTTTAATTTTTATCAGACAGTAATGTTGGTGAAAGGATATCGAACAAAAAGAAGTGTAATAAAGACTGACTGAATTTTTTCCAACATTGCAATATTGCAGCTCCTTCACGCTTTTTCTGGTTGGGCAATGGCAGCGAAATGTGCAAGAAACATTATTAGAACTTGTTCCATGTAGGCAGCAATTGTTCTATCATATGGAAAAGTCTCTTCAGATTTACGAACTCTTACCTTTTTGGAGAGATCAAGTAACCCTCCGTAAAGAATATGACTTTACATGCTTCTTTATTCAGACTTTATTTCTAGCTTACGCTGGTAGTAGTGAGTTAAACAACAATCTTTAGCTTTTTTTTTCATTCATGATCACCGCATAACTGAAAATATGTATCACAAACTATCTATAACCATGAATAATTTGCAGTTCTACATATTACGAAATACTCGGTGTCTCAAAGAATGCGACACAAGCAGAAATTAAAGCAGCTTATTATGAAAGATCAAAAAAAGTCAGTATACAACAAATTTCATAAAATGAGTAGTTTTTATGCTTTATAGGTTTTTAGGAGATCTTTCATTTTCTGTCGTAAGATAGTGAGCTCTTTCCAGTAATATGAAGCTTTCGTCTTCAATTAAGTAATGAAGTTTGGTGTAAAGTTCTGTTGCCGCGAAGTTGTAAAGTTGTTGGAAAAATTCTTTTTTTGATGATAGAAGAAATGGTGAGAATTTTTGGATATCATGAGACCGTTTATTACTTTCCGGAACTTTTTTTTTGGAAAGAAATGTGTAAGAAAATGACCGCCGGGTCATACGTTCATGGTTTTATGCATTTCTTTCTGAATGTGAAGAGTGAAGAAAACTGAGTCGAAATTTAGTTACATCCAGACAAGAAGGACTGCTCAAATGATCACCAGGAACTAAAACGACAAAATGATGCATTTGTCGAACTAACTACAGCATACGAAATTTTGAAAGTCCCAGAACGGCGACAGTCATATGACATCTCTTTGAATAGCAACAGATCATTTGCAGGTTGCATAGAACAGTCAAGCTTCGATGGACTTTTCTCTCATTCTCAATGTAGAAATAGGAAAAAGTAAATCATTTATTATACGTACGTTATTACATATACAATCCACATGCGATATTTTAATAATTACTGTTGCTCCCTGTAAATCTCCGTATTTGTGCCTTTTTTATACAAAGACTTGTTCTGGAATACTAGATCACTTGATGGATTCATTGCCTTTGTTGTCATGTTTTCTTTCTTTAAATTAAAAATTTTCTGCAAAAAGATTTTGAGTTCCCTTTGAAAATTATGAAAAAAAAAAAAATTATGACTCTTTGTCTCAAACTTCAGATCAGCGGACCTGATAGCAATGTACCATGGTTTCTGGAAGAATTTTGGTGTTTTTGGCGACTGTTTAAGATTTTTGACGCAATCTTTGTTTGTCGCAGTAGTCATCGTCGCAATATTGCTTCAGTTTTCGAACTAATTATCATTCAGGATATTTCTTGTGTAAAGAGTTCTGTTGCTGCAACTGAAAAAATATTTTTAGAATTTTACAATGATATATGAGAGTTAATTGGATTACATACCAGATCTCTGTATTGCACTTCTTTTTTCCAAAAAAGTTTAGTTTTGATGAGTCAGCGATCCTTTTAACTTTTCATATACATTTATTAGCGATACCTCATTTGGATAATTAATAGATGGATTTGAATTTTATGGCTATTTTGTTAGAATCATCATCTTGTACGACAAAAAAAAGGACAGTAGGGATACATTGTTTCCCCTAAAAAAATAATTTTAGATTTTCCAAGTAGATGTGTTTAAGCATTACATTAATGCCGAGTCTTGCTGTGCTTATTTTCTTTCTTTTTTTTTTTTTTTTCTTTTTTTTTGTTAACATATGGAACGTCTTACAATGATTATATTGAAAACTTAGTAGTGATTATAAATAAATCGACAAACGCGACATTTTTCTCTTGATTTTTCAGGAAATCCAGTTAACTTTTTCTCTACTTTAGAACAATGTTGCCCATTTTAGAGTGGCTTATCTTTACTCCTTTTATCGATCGCTTACTCTTCCTTTATTGCCTAATATGTTCATATATGTATAACAAAATTCTAGAGCTTAGAATGCACTGGATAACGAGGAATTGGATGTGTTAAGGTCACTATTTTGTACAATGGATGAATCTAGCTAAATAAATATTTATGTTTTTTGGGTGATAATACTTCTTCAAATAGTGTTGTTCTTTTATAAATTGTATGGCTGAAATAAAAATGTCTTAAGAAAAAGTTTCAATACGTTCATATAAGAACATGTTCATAAAGGAAACTGTCCGATAATTTCAAATTATTAAATGTTTTAATTAAAAATATGTCGTGGAATTATGAATTTGATTCTTTATAATATGTAAGTGAACATTTTTAGTTCAAATATTTTTCTTCAAAGCAGTTTCAATGCTTGCAATTGAGTAAGAGCTCTCACTTTTATCGTTATCTTCCGATATTCAAGTTGTTTTCTTATAGCAAGCAATGGAGAATATGTTGGAGAAGCGGTTAACAAAATTGGAAGGTCGATTAGGTCTGCGCAAAGCAGGAAGCGTTACAAATATAAATGAAGAATTAATTCTTCTGCGGAAGAAGTTATCAGAAGCTGGATGTGGCTTCCTACTAAAAATTCCGACTGATGTATTGACAAAGATCACTGATTTAGCAACTCGTGTTAGTTTTCCCTTTTGTGTTCATTTTTTGAAGAATATCCCATTATTTAACAAGATGCCATACACAGAAGATATCAATAATTGTCCCTCAATCTTAGTTCCCGGCTTTGGGAAACTCTTAGTATTTTCTAATGTCACTTAGTAACTGAATGGAATTTATGCATACCCATATTACATTATTACTGGGACAAAAGTAATTTGAAAATCCAGTTTGCTTTCTGGGAATTCACTGTGTAGGTAATCAAACTTTCAGAGTGATTATTTGACTTCTGCAGAAAAGAAGAGAGAAATAGAATTTGGTCATGATTTAATGGTCGAGCGGGTCAAACTGCTGGAAGAGTTTCAGAAAGATTCCGAGGTTATGTCGGCATTTTAAATTGTCATTATCATAATGGTTGCTAAATCCAGAACTGGAAACCAAACAAAAAGCAGTCATTTAATTTTCATGTATGCAAAATGTTGCTGAAAACTTACTGGGAAGTTTTAACATCTTCCTCCTGTTTTTGTATCAAAGAGAACAAATTTGTCATTGCCTGATGTGAAAATCCGATTATTATTCTCGAGAGTGGATACAAATTCGACCTATCTCATTTAACTTTCACCATTTTATGTAGTCTTTAGTATTCCTTACAGGTTGTGTTCAAATCCGAATCAATTGCAAATGTAGGTCATCATCTCCCAGCGCTCAATGCTGCTGAAAAGGAAATCAATGGATCGGCTTTAGATGTGCAAAAGTTTGTGATTTAAATATTTCTTCAATTTAATAAGGATTCGTGAGCAAAAATATAATTCCATTTAACTTAATTCCGTAAAGAAACGTCTTTTCTACTTCGTTATAATTTTGTCTCTTTCATAGCCCCACTTGAGAAGCGAAATTTTGCGAAATGTGACAGTTATAAAGATTAGATGATATTTTACTTGCTCATATGTTCTCATTTTTCTCTTTTTTGAATTTTTCCAGACATCACAGCAGTGTGGTGGATCTCAAAGAAAAGTTTGTAATACTTTTGGAGCAGCTCCATTATCAAATTCAAGAGTGGGAAAATATTGTAGAGAGGCTTGAACAAGTGAAGAAGAGAGAAGCAAATGCGTAGCTTCGTATACGAATTTTCGTTTTTGATATAAAGCTTACAAATGGATTTTGTGAATTCTGATCCATTTTCGGCTTTTACAATGCTTTTTCTCATTTGTATCGCAGAATTTTGTATAATTTTATGATTAATATGAACAGATGGACAGATGGTTAGTTTACTGTCGTGTATTTAAAGCAGCATTTTTTATTATGCAGTTATGCCTAGAGGTTTGTTTGTAGGCAGTAAGAAGTTTTTAGTATTCACAGTTACGAATGTGGATGCGTTCAGCGAGTTAATTATTAAAATTGTAACCAATGTAGGTTAAATAAAATCGCATGATATAATGAAAGGAACTTATGTTAGCTTCAAGAAATGCTAGAAGGCTTGTTTTTTTTTTTTTCTTTGGATAATCATTATCTGAATTGTTCCAGCATATTAGGAAAATTTTAGCTCAACTGAATATGGAAAGTTCATCCCCATCAAAAACAGAAAAATACGGGATTTGCAGTATTTTCTCCATTTGTTTTTCTCATCGTAATGGCGAATGTATATATCAAATTTTTAACTCTTCATCCCAAATTCCCATTTTATTTTTTTTTACATAGCAGCTTTTTTAACAAAATATAGAAAATTATGTAAATAAATAAAACAGATGTCATTTCAAATGTTTTTGTCTGTGCAATGAGATAAGGATGACAGGGATTTATGGAAAGATCAAATCTAGCTAGACTGGTCCAGTCACTTTCTTAATTTTCTGTCTCAATCAGAGCATTTGGCTTATGTAGAAGGTTCACTTCATAAATATTAGGTTATCCGCTTTTGTGCAAGCTAATGAAAACCAATTAAGGGAAAATAGTTCTCAGAACTTTCTCAAGCAAAGTTAACTATGCCCTAAATTAATGTCTATCTAATTCCAAAATATGAATCTCAAATGTTCGGTTCCTACAGTTTCAACTATCTTCAGTTCGTGCAATCTTGTTTTGTTTATAAAACAGCAGTTTAATAAGTGTGGAATTTAAAATTATAACAAAAAATTCTAGTTTTATAGAAAGTTGTTGAGATCATAACCGTCCTTTCTGAATGTTTATATAATTATGATGATGAAAGTGGACAATAATATGGTGGTATTCAAAGAAGAACTTTTAGGGTGAGTTGGGCACTTCAAATTCTGCCCATTTAGTAGACAAGAGTGAAGAACTACAAAGAATATAATGACGATCTAGTAGATGGTTTGCAAATGTTTCTCTTAGCAATTCCTGCCCATGGATTTTCCTTTTTAGGTTAATATAGCAAGACATGCAGTAAAGAATATCAAATGTGGATCGGTGTCTTATAGCAAGCTAACCTAGTTTTAATTTATTTGTACTTATTATTGGGATTTCAAAACTATAGTTCCTAGAATGATTTTGTTGTAATATTTCATTCTTCCATCATTTAAGATTCCTCGATTCTTGATATCTTGATACCTATCTCTTTAGACAAAAGTCACAAAGAAACCGCCGTCTTCCGTTCTCACTTATCAGTGTCTCTTTTCTTGTAGATATCCAAACTGCTTTCCTCTTTGTGGTTCTTAAATTTTTAGAAAATGCTAATTAGGCCCGTCTTTCTGCATATCCCAGAAAGAAGTTTGTGCAAAGGCAATTTTAAGATTCTAACTATGCATGAAGCACGCATAATTGCTTAAAGCAATTATATTTAAGGATTTATAAGCCATAGGGACATTGCTGCCTATTTATTCGTAAAATTCTGACGTTTTCAGGTTTTTACTGTGAATGGTAAGCTGTAATGTCTTCGAAATAGCTTTTTGTTTGTTTGTTTATTCTTTTTAACAAATTTTTTAACAATTTCAAAATTGCTTACAGCAGGAAGTATCTTTACAATCCGATTTATTACAAACCTTGACAATAATTATATTTACATATTTGATATCATTATATTCATCCACGGAAAATACTAAAAAAAATACTCGATTATCAGTCAATTTTTAATGATTTAACAACAGATAATCACAGTGCAAAACCGAGTGATAATTATTTCATCAATATTTTCGTAGATTGAAAAAGAATTTATTTGTATTTTGGTTTTGTTCTTTTCCAATTCTGTAAATTAAGTTTTATTATTAACTAAATTCAAATTCATGCTATGGGTGTTTCCTATAAATGTGGAGCATTACATAAGTTTCAAATATTTGGTATTAAAACATCCCACTTTTTCTCTGTTAATTATGATTCCAGTATTGCATATTTCTAGACTGATTCAACAACTAACGCGATTAACAGAATCCTAAAAACGGAGGAATTGGAGCTATGTAACAAAATGGATGAAATATTCTTGAAGGAACAGAAAACGACAGGTGTAGTAGCACCTTTACCTACTAACTTGCATGTTTTGGCAAAATCGTTTCGGATTTTAGCATTTTTGGGAGTGATTTTAGCAGTGTTTTCTGTCATAACTACGACACTGGTAATACCATTACTTTACGGTTATGTACAACATACCCTATCGCTTTTGGAACCGGAAATTGACTACTGTTTCGATCAATCGCGATCGCTATGGTCTCAACTGATTCAGGTTGCTTTCCGCTAAATTTTAACCTTTAGATTTTTTATGATATTTAAATTTTGTTTGCTAACTGGCTTTTTCGAATTTCAGTGTTTCATTCCAGTACAGTACTGGATTGGCTGTTTGTCGTGAATGTAAAAGATATTGGAGTCCTTGTAAAAGTTATTGCAATCATTCATAATTTTCTTTTCAGATTCGTGAAACAAATGATGTTAAAAATCGAAAAGAGCGGCAGATTTTACACCATTACGGATTACCATCGTCTTATAACAGTGACACCAATGCTCCTTACCGAGAGCGCTTACCTTACCGCAACACCTATGAATGGGCTCGGATCTTATCTTCTTCTCTGTATCCAAGGCACAGTGAGTCGATGATTCTCTCACCTTATGTTCTCAGCTCTGAATCATTTCATATTCCAATGAAAAAATTTACATTAACAATCTTAAATGTAAATCTGAAGAAGGATTAAATAACGAATTTTTATTTATGTCGTACCAGTTCTATCGAACTTTTTAACATCAAAATTCAATTTGTTTCTTCATTTTTGCATTATTTAATCTTTTTAAGTTATTCTAGAAAATCGATATTTTCCATATTCACGTAGCAATGTGCAGGAAGCAAGATTCTATGGTTGTAATGTTGGTTCTATCGGTCCTCCAGGTGCTTCTGGAATAGATGGAAAACCAGGTCAACGATTATTTTTTACTCACTGCGTGCAGCAGCCTTTATAAATTTTAACGTTTCTTGAACAAAAATAAGGGTAAACTATTATTTTATTCAATTTTTTACCATATCATTTAGGTATTCATGGTAAGCCAGGCAAAAATGGAGTACCTGGAGAAGATTTCAAGTCTAATATTCATTATGAAAACGTATGTATGACTTGTCCTCCGGGACCACCAGGTGAAGTTGGCGACACAGGTTTAAAGGGCCTGCCTGGTCCTCCTGGACCCAGAGGTCCGCGTGGATATTCACTCTACCACCCAGGCCCATCTGGTCCACCAGGTCACATAGGACCACCAGGACTTCCTGGTATCCAAGGACCACCAGGTCCTCTTGGACGTCCAGGTGTTATCATTATACAAGGTTTGTTATTTGTATAGATTTTCATCTGTTATTTTTCGTCTCTTATTATTAATCTGTTTCCTCATACCTTATTAATTGATTTTCCTGTCCGTCTTGAATTTTCGAGAATAATAAATAGAATTGATTTTTAAATTTATTTATTTTTAGGAGAAAACGAAGAACTACCAGTTGGACTGACTAGATCGTCAAGACCTTCAGGTATAACAGGTTTGCCCAGTACACCAGATAAAAGTTGGCCAGATAATATTGGACCACCAAATAATTCAGCAACACTTGGATCTGAATCACCAGGGTAGGAAGAACTGCTTCAGGCCAAACTAAAATTTGACGTTTGTGGTCATTGCCCACTTGCAAGAACAACTTCTGCTTATTGAAATAATTATGTGATTTGTCGTGACTTTATTGTACATATCAAAGTTTCAAAAAGATTTCAGCAATACATAGGAGAATAGCTTTTTTCCCTTAAAGGTCAACTTTTTCTCGGTCTGTATGATTGAATACTTCGAAGTTAGTACATAGTTTACATGCTTCGAAGGATACCATTTATGAAAGATTAACTCTCGCATTTAATAATGTGAAAATTATGACAAAGTATTTCGAAATACTTCCAAAAAAATGTCATCTTCTAGAGTTTTTTCAGCTTGAGAAAAACAGAAATCCATGATTTTTGTTAAGGAGCACTTATAGCCAGTAAAATGAAAATGGATTTGTACTCATCAATAAACCACAGTCCTTGTTTCTATCTCTTCCTTCTTTTCTCAAGAGTCCACAAAAGTGTTGAATTTAAAGCAAACGTAGTTGACAGCGTTATGTTACACAAAGTCAATCGTTCATAGGCATTTATTATTGCATCAGAAATTAGCTAAAACAAAAGAGTTAGTTCGGCGCTATTTTTGAGCATTATGGTGTTGCCCGCTGGCGATGGCGCATATATCTTCATGTAAACAACTAATACACAAGAAGCTGAAATATCAGACTGGGTTTATAAGGGAAGGGTTATGATTATAAGCTATTATAAGCAAAAAAGATTAACAACCAGCGATAGACAATACAACCATTATAATTGTGATAAACGTACTTTGGAAGCAAACCTAAAAGGGTGATGCTTCTTAAGGTGATAGCAACAACTTGTTTTCTCTCCTCATAACATTCCATTGACACAATTAATGATAGATTTAATATTTCTTTCTCAACTCACTAAAATCTATTTATTTATTTATTTTTTTCTAAATCTAATTTCTATTCCAATCGTCGCAAAATATCAGGCAATTTTAGATATGCTACAAATAGGATAATACCAAGTTTTAGTATTATCAACGATACCATGAAGTACGTTATTTCTCGAATTTGTATGACGTGGCTATCGCTTAGAACAATGTCTTACACAGTATACCGATGATTCCCGTAATCATGATAAGTGAATTGGAGATCATTTATGAAATAGTCCCATTTTGGTAGAGTGAGATCAAAAGATCACTAGAATGGATTCAGCCTTGAAGGCTTCTGTTGATCAAATATATTTTATTGAAAACGACAGTATCTTCAAGCAACAAACCTTAGAATACCTAAAATACAGTAAGTCAGTCTTCGATAATATACATTCATTTCCTGAATGGAAAACTTCTTTTTCCGCTGCTTTCATGCGATCAACTTCATCCCCATTATCTCCTTACGTCATGGCGTGTGAGATGACACACTGTCTACAACAGTAGTCGTAGTGTTGTTGCCTCAAAACTAAAAATGATTCAAGTGAACATAAATGGTGGTCAGCCAAATCCGAACTTCGATTTATTATCAGTGTTTCTTTTTCATTTTTTTTTTTTTTTTTTTGGAATTATTTTTATATAAAGCTTGCTATTAGGAACAGTTAAATATCATAATTTAGTGGAGGTTTCTTACCCCTGTCCTCCCTGCAGAATTCAAAGATGTAATTCATAAAAAAAAAAAAAGAAACTGTGTTTCTTTTTTTTTGAAATCATTAGTTTTTTTAATGAAACTAAATAGTTCCCTTACAAGATTAGATCTTTCACTTCGTAATTAACACGTTGACTAAATTTAAACGGAGTCAGTTCATTGTTTGTTCTTCCCTGAATTCAACTAATTTCATCATTAGATTAATTCTTTTTTCTAGCCTTTGATGTAACTTTTAGTTAGTTTTATGCATAGATGATCGGTCCATCACATTATATGCTATCTACGCCATTTGAATCATCTTCCATCAGTAATCGCCCTTTCATGAAATGAATGAGTGAGCAAAAATCGACAGTAATTTGTCTTTTTAGGCAATATGATTGTGACAGATGACCGAAGGACAGAAATGGAAAACCTCAAACGAATAAGCCTTTTCGGAACGGCCGTATCCACTTTCTGCATACTGTCAGCTGTTACTATCGTTCCGATGGTTTATAATTATGTGCAACATATAGAATCTAGCTTACAATCTGAAATCGACTTCTGCAGACATCGCTCGAATGGTCTTTGGGAGGAGTACTTTGCAGTATGCATTTCAAATGTAATTTCTATTAATTAGATCAGACTGATGTACAGTTAGATGTACTCAATGCATATGGAGACGATAGCGTATATTATCTGTTTAATTAGCATTTCCTCTCAATCTAGTTCCTTCACTCATATTTATCGAAGGCTATCTTAACACTGCATTTTAACATAAGTTAATTTTAGTTTTAAATAGAATCACGCATGTGATAGGGATGAGATTGTCTGAATGGAGTGGAATGCAACACTGCATCGATAGTTAGTTATTTCGTTGATATAAAAAGTGGAAGTTTCCGGTTTTCATTCAGCTCCGGTTTTAATTTGCCTGAGTACTCTTGAACTGAGATTTTGACCTTCTTTCAATTAACAATGGATAAATTAATAGGAAGTTTTGAGTGAATGAAGTTTCAGGGTGAAGGGATTAGTATCATAAAAGGACGCAACAAACGTGGCACTCATTACCAACGCGTAAGTAAATCAATAAAGCGTCCATTATCGGTACAAATTCGAGCTTCTGAACTTCATAGCGAAGAATGGCAAGGTAATTATGACAGTTACAGCGCTGATAAGTCCAGCACTTCTGCAGGAAGTGATGGTGAACAGGAATCTATCGACGAATTTGCCGGAATATCTGAAGAATTAAGTCAATCGGAAGAGAATGAAAATATGAATAAGGGCAATGGATATACTGGTGCTACTGACAATGATAGGGGTTGTTGTAGCTGTAAAGTTGGTTCTCCTGGATCAACTGGACCACCGGGATTAAGAGGGAAGGACGGTATGCTTCATTTATCGTTGTGAAAGTAGCAAGTGAGGGATATTTAAGCTTACCAATGGAGAAGATGCTGTTTAATCTTGTTAAAAGGATAAATCAGTTCTTAAGAAAACTAGATCGATAAGGAATTGATAATATTGTAAAATGCAAATTATCATTTTACAGTACCATTTCCCTAGATTCTGTTATTCATATTACAAACTTTAAAGTTGTTTTTTCATTTTTTCAGGTAAAGATGGAAAGCCTGGTCAAGATGGACTGCCAGGAGTAGATGCAGGACTTGCTGCACAATCTATGTACGATTTTTGCTTCAGATGCCCACCAGGACTACCTGGAGATGTAGGACTGCCAGGACCAAAAGGTCCAAATGGTCCAGATGGAGTACCAGGGCCGACGGGAGCAGCGTCATTACCTGGGTTGCCAGGAGCATGTGGACCGCCTGGGCCAGTTGGTATTCCAGGGCCTCCTGGGCCTCGTGGTCATTCTGGCCCACCGGGGGAAATTATTAAAACACTTGGGCCTCCTGGACCGCCGGGTTTACCAGGACCAAAGGGTTTGCCCGGTCCAATGGGAGAAAAAGGAATGAATGGTAAAAAGGGACAGCCCGGTCCTCAAGGATCACAAGGAAAAAAGGGTAAAAACGGTTATGCAGGTAAAGAAGGAGAGAAAGGAGATCAAGGTATAGCAGGAGAAAGAGGTCTAAGTGGCAGTTGTGATCACTGTCCAATACCGCGAACCCCTCCAGGGTATTAAATAGCAATATCGTTGATTTCTTACTTTAGTATTGTAATTATCATTTCTGGTTTCATTTCAAATGTTTTTTTTTTTTTCATATTCTGATGATTGAAGTGCGTTGCCAATTTAACAAACAGCAAACGGTTTTTGTACGGTATATTATTTGAGGAATTTGGGGGATTTCTCCTCGGTCTTTTGGCCGATGCAAAAATGATGAATAAATTATTTGTAATCCATGTTTGACACTGGAATATGTAATGTTGAAGGTAAATAAATGGTGGATGAAAAGTTTCAAAAGTCAAAATAACCATTATGACTTTTATTTCTGTATATTTAAATCATTGAATTATTGAAATAATTAGCAATTTTCAGTCCTTATGAATCTCTCTTTAATTTAAGCAATAATATTTTATTTTTTATCATTTTGTTTTGTCAAATGTATTTAAATGACGCGTTACTTGAAGATAGTGCCACTTGCTGACCCAAAAATTAGATGAAATAGTTTAGCAGACGACGAAGTGTATCACATTGAATGATTAGCCTAGATAACGATTTTGACATCACAAATTGTTCTTACCCTTAATAATTTAATAAAATTTATTTGTTTTGAAAGTGTGCTTTTTAATCAATGAACAAAGATGCGATATATATGAGAACAAGCTCTCAATCACGATAAGTCCAGTTTTTTTTTTTTTTTTTGCATGCATTTTATATTTCTCGACTTTTTTAAACTCAACTTTGCCTCGGTTCAGTTTGATTGAGTAATTATTACTTCCACGCTTTGAAATAATTTTTTAAATTTTCGAGCACTAAATGAAAGATAAATATTTGGTATCAAAATGATCGGATAAGCTAATTATAGTCATTTTTTTATTTTTAGAGAAAATGGGTCACCTAATGAAATTTTACAGTTTTTTTACTTAGATTTGAGTAAATTTTTTCCTTTAAAAAATTACTTAAGATTGACTCAGCTGAACAAATATTCAAAAAATCACTAAAAAAGTACGAAATATTTGTGAGTTAATTTATTTAAGGACAAGGAAAAAATTTGAATATTCAAGTGAATATTGAAACGTACTTACTGTAGCTATTGGCAGAATTTGGAAAATTGAATTTCATCTAAAGAAATTCCAAAATAAATGAGAGAGAATTTTCATTTTCTAAGTTCTTAAATCATCGTAATAAGGCTAAGAGCAAAAAGTGAGAAAAGGCTATTTCGGTCTTTATACAGAACAAGCAGATTCATATTTGGTAAGAGGATGCATGTATGCAGTGTGAATTTCCAATAATCTTTATAATAAGTTCAAAGTTCAACAGAAAACAAGTTGGTACACTGTTGTCCAATTATATTTTAAAAAAAGTTGACATAAAACAATTTTAATGAAGCCTTTTTAAGGGTGGAATTGGGAATTGAAATGAAGTGAAAGTGAAAGGATCGTACATCATTTCTTACGAGTTCTTTTGAAAGAATAATAATTAAAAAATTTTTTTCAACAAATCCGACTTCCCTAATCTCTTAGCGGCCAAGCAGTTTCAAAGTAAAAGTCTGAAATTCTTGAAATCTAAAGATATATTCGGAAATGTGTAAGTGTAACATTTTTATTCTGTAACATCTGGTTTAGATCTCTTAATACAAACTTTTCAAAAAGAAATTTTCAAATGCGTACTTTTTCCTTGATTTTTTTTCAATCCTCCTGGTACTCTGTAATTTGCTTCGAAGAAATTTCAAAACTATTTCGAAAATTCAGATCAATATATGTGAAGACTTTTACCAAGTGCATGCAAATGTATTGCAAATTGCATAATTGAAGAGAATAAATTTTTCCTCAGATTTTTTCAGTCTTTTCTCAGCAAACAGTTGGTTAAAATTTATGACCAAAATTGGAAAAATTAAGGAAAAAAGTACGCATTTGAAAATTTCTTCAGTTTGAAAGGTTGAGCAAAAAATTGCAAATATCTTTAGTAATAAAATATTTCTTAAAACAAAACAAGAAACTGGAATTTTTTGATTAAAATTGAAATGCAAAAGTGCGCAAATGTAACAGATATAAGTAAAAGTGATTGATAAAGTTTACGAGTGCAATAGAGGGTTTTCTTTCAAAAAGCTTTCTCTAAATTAAAAGCACACATAATTTAAGATCACGACAATATTCAAATTTCTGGCTAGAAAATATTGTTCTGGAAAAGTGATCTTGATTTTTTTTTTTGATTTAAATGATTTTGTTGACTTTAAGATCGTTTTAAAATGATTGAAAGGATAATTACACATGATATTCATAAAAAGTTAATAACCAGGAGAAGTACGAGGTGGTGGGCAATGGTCACACGAGCCTTGTTTCCCTTCCTTGCCAAATAATCCTGGCCTTCCATTTAACCCATTTTCTCCTGGGACACCCTGTGGCCCAGGGTCACCTGGTGGCCCTATTGGACCAATAGGTCCAGGTCTACCAATCGTACCAGGTTGTCCCGCTTTACCAGGTTGTCCAATTGGTCCCGGAAGACCTGGTGGCCCTTGTGGTCCAGGATATTCACTGAGAACACCAGGTAAACCACTAGCCCCTGGTGGTCCTGAAGGTCCCGGAGGTCCTTGTAGTCCACGAGGCCCAGGTGATCCTGGTGGTCCTGGTAGCAAAGATCCTCCTCCACTTACTCCTCGCTTTCCGGTTGGCCCTGGGAATCCTTTCGGTCCTGGAGCTCCAGCTGGTCCTGCTGGACCAGGAGGGCAATCAAAGCACAAATCTTCTGGTTTCGGTCTTGCATTTGGCTCGGCATCTCTACCGGGTGATCCATGTGCTCCAGGTGGTCCATCAGCACCTAAAATAGAATTTGTTGCCGAAAAAATGATGAAGTTTAAAATATCATAATGATGCAAATGACAAACCATTTTCACCGTCAGGTCCTGGAGGACCCGGTGGTCCAGCAGCTCCAACACCGCAACTACAACATGCGTTTTCAGTAGTTCCAGCTGTCACAGTTCTTGCACCGATACCGCTAAATTTGCTATCGTCATAAATTCCAGATGTTTTGATATATTTTGTGTTATTTCTGCCAATGCCACTCTGCTCTACAAATATAGAAAGATTATAAACTATTATTATCTTATTGCTAGAACATAAATAATTGAATTTTGTATTTATTTATTTCTTAATTCCTTATTTTCTCATTTAATTTAATTTGTGAATTTCACATGATTTTGAGGATCTTCTGAGAATTCTTTTTTTTTTTTTTTTTTTCAAAGGAACAAGATTAAAAAGAAATACCGAAAGCTTTCGTTTTCCTCAACAATGCTTATACATTCACGGAGACCGTTCCGAGTTTCATGCAGTGAATTATTAACCCAGTAAAATTTTATCCAGTAACTTGTTAATGGAGAAATTCTGGCTTCTCAACTACTCTAAGCATTCCTTTTTATTACTGAAGATAATTCTACTAAAACAAAGGATGATAAAATGAATTAGGTTTTAAAAAAGCTTAATTTGTCATTGTTACTTAGGTTTAGCTAGATTTGAATTCTCTCCTTCTACAGCAGTAAAATTGACATTTTTCATTTCGCTCCTGATTTTGATGTCGGACATAAAAACTAATTTTTCTCCACCTAACAAATTTTCAAGCCTATTTTATTCTAATGAAGCTGAAGTTAATCTTCCAAATAATTTTTAGTCACGTTTTACATAACTCCAAAATCTGATTTCGGTAGTGGGCATCCGGATTCGAATTTAACTTACGCAAAACAACCGATTGATATGATGAAGAAAGGCGAACATGATTTTAGTGCTGCGTTTGATAGCGGTGAGGTAAACATTTTTAAGCTTTGATCTGATTCATCAGCTTCAAATTAGTTTTAGTTTGAATTCTAATTTAAAACAATTTTTCTCTGATTGTATGAAACCTATATTTTTAAGCTGAGGTACTTCTTAAGTTTGTCTTTTAATTGTTCTTCCCTTGTAGCATCTCTACTTTTCTCGATATCGCACTTAAATTAATTTAGGATAAATGTTATGATGTGTATAGGATAAAATTTTCAAATATACTTCACCACTGCAACTTTGATGCAAATTATAAAGGCCTAATTGGATTTCAAGATCGAAATATGATTCTCGGCAAAAACGGTTTCTTTATAACCCTGGTGATTCACTTGCTGTAATTGCTGCAAACTTGAAGTGCATCTCTTATTTCCAGCAAAATGGCATCAAAGGTTATTTCATTTTTATCTTAAACCTTTGCTCATCAAAGCTATGAAATATAAAATAATAGATTTTATTTTGAAATTTCAAGTTTTCGCTTATTTTTGTTACACTACTTTTTTAGCTTGCTCTCCCTGCATCCACTAATCATCTTTAGAATTCCTATAATCAAATGGAGGGAAAGTTTCCATTTTAGATGGAAAACTTACCCAATCTGTGGCCTTAAAGACTTGAAAATTGTAAGATGAAGAAAAAAAACATCAGTTTCCAAATGAAAAAATGAAAGAATGATTGATCAAAATCACCAACCATATATCATCCTGTCACTTCTTGTCACATCTTCTTTTGTTAGCGCAAATCTGCTGTCCTCTTCTTCCGTTTCCTCCCTCTCCAAATCTTCCCCTTCTTCCTCATCATCTTCCTCATCCTCAGCACTATATCCGCCAATTTCATCTTCCACCGAATATGTTGGAACTGCGTGCGCTTCTTTTCTCCTTCGTTTCATTCTGTTGACCTGTCGACGGTTTACGTATCTTTTCAAACGATTATTGATGTTAACATTCTCCGTTAATATTTGTACCTATAATGCTAGAAAAAATAATGATTTTTTTGTATTTTTTCAAAATCGATGTTTGAAATTGTTTAAAATTTACTTATCAAAACTTGTCCGTCGGTATCCTTTCATCTCATTGCGGTTACACAATGAATTAAACTTAGTAAATTTTTAAAAAATGAAAAGATTTAACTTTGTTTAAAACAATGTCAAAAAAAGTTTTTTTTTTTTAGCAAGAATTGTTTGAAGTTCTCATTTAAACTATTGTTTGATGCCGAAAAATTTTTTGAAATAGAGAATGAAAATTCATCAAAATTATGTACAGCTTTTTTCTTTTTAAAAGATAAATTCTCTGTTTTTTTTTATTAAAACATATTATTTAGAGAGATTTTGCTAATTAATGGCAAAAATTCTTAGATGTTAGCTTTCGCAAGATCTACTCACATTAAGAGATCAAATTAATTAAGAAAAATTTATTAAGACAAATACCTTATCAAACTGTTGCCATAAACCATCTGTTAAATATTTGCAGTAATTAACTTCACCCTCGAGGGACGATTGTACGTGTTGCATGTAGTTATACAGAAGAGGTACAGCAATGATCGCTGTCAACGTAGCCATCGTTGATACTGTGATACCGAAGAATGCGGCACGTTTCATCGCTTCCACTTCTTTTTGTTGTAACTTTGAATCTACCACTGATATTGCCATCACCTAAATCAATTATTTATCTTCTCTAAGTACTGTTTCACTTTTTTTTGCTATTTTTTCCAGAACATAATTAAGCTCAAAAATAATTCAATGACTTAAATGTCACTTTTTTCGTTCCCAACCAGAAGACACTGAAATAATTAACTTATTCTTTGATGGTATTTTAACCTATTCAAAGATGTAAAATTCTTAAATTGGATCAACATACCGCAATTTATTACCATTTTTGAAAGTCAATGAAATTTCGGAAGAATTATGAAATGCTTATTTGCGATAGCAAATGATCAAAGAGTATTTTTCTCTTTCATCTCTCATAGTGAAAAGAATTTTGGATTTTTTGTATTTGTAGAAACTAAGTAGAAATACGCTATATTTAATTATCACTGATATGTTGATAATATCTTCGGGCAAAACACTCGTGAAATTATTTTAAATATAGTAATCTATGAACTATGCCATTGAGCACTAGTTTTTAGATATAGAAATTCTCGATAAAAAATAATATTTACACTTAAGGATTTGAAGACTGCCCAGTAATTCAGTAATTTAGTTTTAATTACTGGAAAAATGTCAGGTACTTTCACTTTTTGAAAGAGGTGAAAATTATTTTTAAATGGAAAGAAGAAAACAAGAGATAAATCTTGGTTTTAAGATATCTCCATTTTCCTTTTAATTTCAGTGAAGCTTCAATGAAGTTTTTGATCATCATTGTTGACTTTGTCCGTCAGTGAAAGCTACTTTAACTTGAAAGACAAATTTATAGCTGAAACAGAAAGGAAAAGGATGAACTACTGAAATGAGTGAAGAGTAATATAGATTTGATTTGGAAAAAAGAAGAGAAGCTATAAAAGAATAAATATTTAGATAAATCGATGGATGGTCGATTTTCTTAATATTAACAAAGTCATTTAATAAAAAAAAAAAAAACAAAATAGTTATTGACAGTTAAGTGTATTCGTATTTCTACTTCAGAAGGCCAATTAACCGTTTTCTTTCCCTATGTGAGCTGAAAACTTGTTGCCTTAAATTGTAAGATGCTGAAGATCTTAGATGAAAAGGCAGAGTTGTAGTTGTGATAATTGTAATAATTATGATTGTAGTGACATCAATAATCATACTTTAGAGAGATTCGCTTCACTGACTTAAAGTAATTAAAAATGACAATTTGAGCATATAATGTAAATAGCGCAGAAATAGAGGCATCGCAAAACACATTTTTGTTCATTTTTCCATGAGTCAATGAAAATTTTTCAAACAGATTGTGAAATTTTTATTCCTACATCTGTATGCTTTCTTTTAAGTATTATTTGACATTAGCTATGTACGGTTAACATATTCTATTTTTTTTTTCTTAAATATCTAAATTACAAGTTGAGAGTATTAAATTTTAATCCCACTATCCAGGAAGCGTATAGAACAGGATACGAAGACATAAACGATGTACCAATTCAATGAATTTTCAATAAGAACAAAGAACGGTTGATCTCTTACTTCTGTATTACAGAAAATTGCAAATAAGCCTGGTATGAGAATGTATGATACATATTTTAAATTTTATGATCAAACTTGCTATTAACAGAAGATTAACATCATAAAATATCGATTTATTAGTGAGGTATCTGTGAAGAAAGAATGAGAATAAAAAGACTATAAGGAAATTTAGAGAAACATAAATGGATGTAATAATTTCTTTTCTATCATTGTTTATTATTACCAATTGTTAATCACGGATTTTTGTAGGAAATGTCTTTAATTCTGTTTTTGTTAAGATTAAGTAATGGTATCTATCCTCTGTGTCTCAAGATAAGAGTTAAGAATAAATGATATTTCATGTTATTGCAACAGTCAAGTAATGGTCTTCAACTTCAACTGAAAGTTCAAAGCAAATCATAGGATTTTTATCAAATGAATGGTTTGTTTATGGCTTCTGAAAAATGGTATTCAATTTATGTGATGAAAAGTGGTATTTCAATTTTTGGTTTACAATAATTGTTATTTAGAGAGCGATTATGTAACAGAGCAATCATAAATGTGGCATCTAAGAAAGCAATGCAATTTAACTATGATAGCATAACACAGAAAATATTTGCCAAATGCTTGTTTATAACACATTTGTTGGATACCTTATATACCATCTATGACTTAACATAAGCTCAGAAAGTGTTTATACAAAAAATACAGCATTTGTTCTGGTTGAAATTATGAATATCAGAGAGAGTGGAGATGGATGCACAGTACGATGGATACGCTGAACAGGGTTTTTTTATATATCAGCGCTTGACAACCTGACATTTCAGATGACAAGCAATTTAAAGATGATAACACAAGGAAGAGTAAGGCGTGGCAAGAAAAGGTGCTGTAGGATAAAGAAATCATTGATTCGCATACCTATATCTGAAGGTCATAATCGTTGCTACTGTTTTATGCCATCTACGCTAATTTTCTCTCAAAATCTTTTCTCTTTATTCCCTGAAGGTATAGCAAAGCCGGGAACTTGTTCCAGCTTGATAATTGTCCATAGATCAGTAATAGTGATAATGAGACAAGATGACAGTAATAATTATCACGAGAATAGCAATAAAAGGTAAAATCATAAGGCAATATATTCATTCAGCCAATAAAAATATTTAGTTCAATTTAATAACATTTTTTTAAAAGAAAATCGGTTTCGGTTTCATTCTGGTATTCGCTGACCCTATCTTTTCGCTTCCCTTCTTAATTCTTTCTTAATTTTTTCACCCGGAATATTTTCTTCCCTCAGGTGAACAGTTTATCTTAATAGGTGCAAAAAAAAAAAAAATCCAGTTTTATAACCCGAAATATCTCATATCTCTAAACACTTTGCTGGAAGAAATAAATAACTTCAAATCTATTGCGGTATGTAAACTTTAATTTCTCATTTTGGAATATACTGTAATATTAATTAATGCAGATTACAAAAAGGCAAACAAGACAAATTGCGTAGGAATACTTGCAAAAAAGACATTTCTAGTACCTTAATTTAATAAAGATTTTAATAAAGAATCAAATTTGCATATTTTTTAATCATCATGAAAGCAAGGTTTGCAGTAAGTGCATCATGCAATAAGTGCACACCATGCAATGCTACTTTTTTACAAAATTGCAGAAAGAACACAGTTAGAAGCAAGTTGTATGGATTAGTTTACAAATGAAATCATCATCAAATTTATGCAAGTTTTTTTGGTGTAATAATGAAAACTTTATTTTAGAAGCCTTCTTTTCGTCACCAATAAACTAAATAAATTTCAGTTTCTAATAATTTCAATTTCCTAATAACTTGCCCCCTGGTTTGGGATAGTTTTTTTCATACAAAACAAATGAAATTTACGCAAAAAATTGAATTTCCAATTCAGTGTTGTATAATATTCAAGGAATGAATAATGAATGACCTATATTAAAAATAAATTTGAAACTTATGGAAGATGTGATCAAAATGATCAAAAGAGTGACTTGTTTTATATCTAACTAGAATTAAGCCCTAAAAGGAAAGCCAAGCTTAATAACAATAGTTTGTTTTATTTTAAACATATTTTTTTTAAATTTGCTTAAATGTTTTTTGCAATATTTCTGAATGTTTGTTTAGACTGACTTACTTATTTTAGCAGTAGTTTGATCATTCAGGAAAATTGAAAGCATATTGCTTGTATGTTTATAAAAAATATTGTGAAATATTCTTTAAAAAAAACTTTAAATTAATCATAATTTGTATAATAGCTAAGAAGACAATATTATTATCAAATGAATTGCCGATCAAATAGGATGCTATTAATTTTCCTTTGGCTTATTAGATTAACTGATACATTAATAAATAGAGAAATCGTTTTACTCTGCTCCATTTAAATTTCACCATACTGATTTTCACATACTGATTTCAGATTTCACCATACCACCAACTGATTTTGAGAAGTAACTATTACTATATCACTTTGTCTTCTTACTTGTTCAAGAGAGTTTTAAAAAGTATTTTTTGAATGATAATTCTTGTGAATTTCTAACACAAGATATCAGAACAAATTCCAAATTGAGATAATTTAAATAAAGTTGAATTGATTATCCGCGCATTATTTATTTCGCCACCCAAACAGCTTAAAATCATATTTTTATTAATTTATTTATTTTTGCAGTACAATCATCGCTTATCACTTTTTATTGCTAATGCATTTTAGATATGCTTTCTTATTGTTTTAAATGATTATTAATATCATCTTTTTTTTTTTTGAATTTAAAAAGTGTAAACAAGCAAAATACAGCAACGTTAATTTGATTTATAGCAAATTTTTGAGCAGAAAATTTAACTTTTGAAAATAGTCCACCTCGTTTACTTTTCTTTTTTCTTAGTTGAAAAAAGAGAAGATCTGTGATAAAAAGTTCTAAATTCAGTTTTTCTATTTGTTCTTTAAAATGAGTATCTAAGTAATTAATTGGTCAGAATGATCTCTTAAAAAACTATAAGCGAGATATTTTTCCAAAATTTAAAAGGCAAATGACAATAATATTGAGAGATATGATAATGATAATGGTATCAATGACGGCGATGATAAAAAATGCCAAATGGTGTTTTTCCCTTTTTCAATAATAATAATAATGGCAATCTGGTGACATATAGTAGAATTTTTTATCGATTTTCATCTTTTCATTTAAATTTACAAAAATTGCAAAAAGATTGAAAATAATAAAAAAGATTTTGTTTTCACGCTCCGTTTCATGCTTCTCTTCTCATTTCGTCTGATTTAGTTAAGAAATTTCTCACTGATCCTTGACTAACGGCGGCTAAAAAGTTGCATAAAAAATGCCAAATAGTGTTTTTCCCTTTTTCAATGTCAGTTATGGAAATTAAATTTGTTCTAATTCTATCAGTGATATTTCTGATATTTGCAAAAAATTGAAAATGTAAGATAACACATAAAAGTGATTAGATATGACAAAATGCTAGACGTGACATCACAAAAGTTCAACGACATGGATGGCAGTGATAATTG